ATTATGAACGGACGTCAGAGCGCTTTTCACTAGAAGAGTCTTACGATCGTGCGGTCTGTACGGCGGAAAGAAACGGGCTCGTTGGTAGGCCAAGAATACAAGTCACAGAAGAGCAGTTAACCACATTGCTTTTTAAGTTTAGATATAGGTAAAGAGTACCATATTGGTGTCCTAGTAATAAATTTATGCCCCAATAGTCCCTAAATGTTAGATCAGTAAAAAATGTAGTGTGAAATATGATAGTGTGATGGCCTCGTGTTCAGTGGCACAATTTATGCTTGTGAAAATGTTGTATTTGATAAGCCTGAGAATAAAAAATAAAAAACCACTTGTATATGTATAAATGTAAACCTAAGAAATATAAGTGTAGGTGTAGACTTTTCGAACATAAAATTGGAGATGCGTGTGTGAAATTGTATCTGTAAAATATCCTGTGGTGTAAAAAAATTTGATCATACTCAAGAGTCTCTGAAATGCCATTTTCTGGACTTTGGGGAAGATTTGACAGAATTCTGATGGTCAGAAAACAACGTTTTAGTATGTCGAAATTTACAATTTAGTGGTACTAAATGATATAAAGATTACAAAAATGGCGATATAAAGATTACAAAAATCATTATTGTGTAAAATGATGAGTGAAAACGAGATGCAATTCTAAAGAACATTCTCGTTTACTGATATTTTTGTGTGTGTTTTTGACGTTGTTAAGACCACAAAATAGAAATAGGGCAGAAGGTTCACTCGAGTCGGAACCTTTGAAGTTTTTGTGCCGGCACATATTACGTCCGGATCTTGGCCGCCATGTTGAAAGCAACCAACTCTGGTCCAAAACATTATAAACTAAGGGACGGACCATTAGAAAGTTGCTATAAAACTAAAAAAATTATTCCTAGAAAAAAATCTTTCCAGGCATAATGCAAAAAAAAAAATTCCTTGCTTAGAAGATAGGCCAAGTGGTGTACTGGAGGGAGGGCTCAGGGGGGCTGAGCCCCCTTGTTGAAATTTCATGTTGACTGGGGGGGCTGCACGTTGGTCAAATTTGACAGCGGACATCTTACAGAAAGTGGCCAGTTCTCTGAAAAATGCAGAAGTTTCAAATTTACACCGCAAGTCCACTGACAATATGAGCCTGCGGTCCTGGGAGAAAATTTGCTGAATATGACCAGCGTGCTGAGCCCCCCTTTATTTTGGCACGTTGCATAATCTTAACCACAGAAGAGATAAGGGCAGAAGGTTCACTCAAGGGTGCCAGAATGTCAACCGACTTCCGGCGTGGCCGCCATGTTGAAAGCAACCAAACCAGAGGAAATTTTATAGGAGTTAATATGGTGGAATACGAAATAGAGCCACTAAAAGTGCTCTAGCTTTTTATGTATCCAAGCAAAACTCGTGATACTTTGAAATATCATAAAGAAGAGGTTGTTCTTTGATTTAATTGTCACTACGAGGATGAGAAACGAATTTAAGCGTGGAATTTGGCCATTGTCATACATCGATTAATTTCACCTCGGTCTTTGGCGAATAGTGATAAATATATAAAGTTATATAGCTTATGTGCGGTTAGTCCGATCGCCGTAAATATGTTTTGAGTGATAAGTTGGTGATATTTCATGGTGTACAAAAGGATTAAGGACGTGAATGCCATGAACAATGAAGGAAATAAATCCAGTTCATCGGACTTTCTGTGAATCTGTGATCAACTATTCAATACAGTGTAATTCAACTTGGCATATTGGCCTGCAATCGTATAATAAAATAATATTGCGATATGAAAGAAATTGCTAGACCTACTTCTTCTTCTAAAATAAATTTTAGGGATAATATATTGACTTGAACCTATTAAAATCCTTTAGCTGTGACTTTACAAATTTGGTATCACAAGTGTGTCCAGTGACAACTGACAAGGGCTCCTTTGACATTATCAAGGAACCTCATTTACAAAACAGACAATAAAAGACCTGATTTATCTTAATGACAGTTTAAATTATCAATCTGTGAGAAGATTCTAATATACACTCTAGTTTTTAAGATACATATTAACAGTTTACTCTACAATGAGGGGAAAATAATCTGAAGATGAGAATTTTCTCTGTTACTCAAGTTTATGTTACATTTAGCACCAAGTATATTATTGTTGCTATCACCTTAGGGGCTCATACCTCTTTATGACGCTTGAGACTGCGACATTCTCAGCTTTAGATTTAGCTTCAACAATAAGATCCTCCATCTGCTTAGCTGCCTCCTTTGCATCATCAGATACCAGGTTGTTGGTACCCACATGAAGAATGATACTGCGTAGTCTTCTTTCACCGCAGTCCTTTCGTAGATTTGTGTGAACATCCTTTACCTTGCCACCCCGGTAAGTCTTGCAAACAGTTTTTGCTTTTGCAGCATATGAAAGTTTATTATTGTTTATGTTTTTGGTCATCGAGTCTCCAATTAACAAGGCATCTTGTTAATCTTGACTTCTCTGTGCTGATGTTTTGATCTTTCTTGCCTTCATCTTGCTTGGTCCTAGTGTTCTGGTTTGGATGAGTATCTGGCTGTGTTCCAGTGTTTATCATCATATTGTTAATAGATTCTGGGCTATCTTGAATTGAGATATCATTTGACGATTCGTTTGATAAGGTATGTTCATCCTCAAGGATTTCAAAGCTATTTGAAACAACAGCTGCATAGTTTAGTTTCGATGCTGAAGATGTTGGTTTGGTCACGTTCGATTTTTTTTGCTTTTCAATTTCAATCCAATCATTTTACTTCATATCCAAAACATTTTTCAGTCGATCATTGTCAACAGAAATCTGCTCAATGGCACATTTAAGATCGGCGATCTCGTCCGCCATTTTTGTTGTTTGTTCTACAGGGTGTATCAAAATAAACGCAATTCATCTTTTGTGCTTAATAACTTTCGAAATACTATTTCTAGTTAAACGTTTTTAGGCTTACTTCAAAGCCTGTTCTTTTCTCTTTCAAACAAACTATTATCCTTGTCTCCAATGCTAGTAATAATTGCACAGGAAAAGATTTAGTAAACCTATCATTTTTAGTTGCTGTTTAATTATGCAAGTTTACTATGTTATTGTTTAGTCGGTTTAAATGTTAGAATTTTCTTCTTTAAACTTTAATGTTGTGGTCACTACATCTGGAAAACCACGTAAGAACAAATTGAAAGTATTTTAAAAGAGACCAGGTTGTTTGAAAATCCTAAACGAATGCTAAAAATCGTCAAAACATTCTGGTGTCTGAGCCAGAGTGTCATCGAATTGCGATGTAATGTAAACAGAAATTATAGCAAGTTGATGTCAGTCAGTTTAGATGGTCCAAGCCAAAATTATATCGCATTTGAAGTTTCAAACTGAGTTAAAAATAGTGGAAGAAAAGCCGTAATTATACTTATTGTTACAATCCATTTAATAAATGCAACATTTTTTTGTTTTAA